TTCTACAGTCGTCAGGGCAATGATGCTGAATCACGTTACGCGAGACACAAGTTAAAGGTTTTGGCCATTGTCGAAACGCTACACCGTTTACAGTCGTCACAGTTTGTAATGCAAATGTCACTACGAAAGCGATATCGAGACTTCCTCCACGGATAGCTAGATGGTGGTTGCGACTCCAAGAGTACGAGTTTTCCTGCAAGCATCGGCAAGGGTCAAAGATGCAACACGTCGATTGTCTCAGTCGATTTCCGAGTCTTCCTCCATGTAAAGTCGATACGGTTGCTGAACGGATTTTAGTTGTGACTGACGACACCGACAACGATTGGATCTACGCTATGCAATTGCAGGATCCGCACTTGTTAAACATAATTTCAGCTCTTAAGGGCGATGGGAGGGAATCGACTCAAGCTAAGAAAGATTTAGAGGTGCACAACGGTCGACTATATAAGAAGATGCAAGGCGAAAGGAAATTAGTAATTCCTCATGGCGTTAGGTGGCGAATCATCCGGTCATGTCACGAAGACGCAGGCCACTTCGGAGTGGAAAAGACAATGCAATGATTGCAGAAGAATTTCTGGTTCAGACGCATGATTCAATAATACAAGGTTAGATAATTATTGACAGCTGCGGTTTGACACTCCCTTACAAAAGGTTGCATTTCCAAAGACGGAGAGAAGGGGAGGAATGAAATCTCTTGGTGCGAAAATGGTAGTAGAAAAGTACGCAAAGTATGCAATTAGCAGTGAAATTCCTTTTGTAAATTCTAATGTATGTGCAGGAAATCTGGCATTTTAAACGTAATGTTGAACGTAACATTGATGTATCTATGTGAATTACTGAATTTATGTGCTATTTAGCTGTATAAAAACTGCAAAATGACTCAAAATTAAAATAAGACTACTATGAGATTGATGTAAACATCCAATTTAAAAACAGTTTATGTTTTCATCAGTTACATATGCTTCATATGCATATACAAATAAACATATTGCACAACCGCTCATACTTCTATTTCACACCAAAGCTACACTGTATCCATGTAAATGTGCAAAGAAGCAACACGGTGCCACTGCTAAGGGAGCGAATCATGGTTCAGACGTATGAGGCGTTACATTAAATCCTATATCTCAGCCTGTCCAGAATGCTGCTTAAATAAAATTAAAGGAGGTAAATCCGAAAGTCAACTACATCTTAACGAAATTTTGCCTATTCCATTCAGATCACTTTATATGGATCATCTCGGCCCTTTCACAAGGAGTAAACGCGGTAACCAGCATATCGTCGTCTTGGTTTGCGGGTTCACGAAATACACGATTTTAAAAGCAGTACGAAATACGAAGACATCGCCGGTGATAACACTGATTCAAGAAGTAATGGCAATATTTGGTAATTATGAATCACTACCGACCGTGGAAGAGCTTTTACGTTAAAGGAGTTCGAAGGATTTTTGGTACGTTACGGAATCAAACACGTAAAGACAGCAGTTCGAACACCCAGAGTGAACGGTCAAGCCGAACACGTAAACCGGACAATTTTGTCTTCAATACGATGTTCTACAAAAGACGCAAAGGACTGGGATGTTACCATTCCGAAAATCCAGTGGTGTATCAATTCGCAAACAAACGCAACTACAAAGTCTAGCCCTAACGAGCTTGTTTTCAATTTAAATATGAGAGATGTTAGTCAAAATCGTCTTGTCCAAGCAAATTGTTCAGAAACTGATGGTGAAGAAAAGCTACATCGGGCCTTAGAATGCATTGACAACGACAGGGAAAAATGGAAGAAAAGGTACGATAGGGCACATCAGCGTCCAATTCAGTACAACGAAGGTCAACTTGTGGTCATCGATCATATACCCAGTGCCACTGGTGAGACTCACAAACTCGAACCGAAGTTCAAGGGTCCTTATGTTGTCACCAAGCAGTTAGGGCACGACCGATACGTGGTAGAAGATCTCCCAGACGCGCCGCGTACACAACGTCATTATTGCAACGTAATTTCATGTGATCATATGAAGCCATGGTGTAGCATAAGTCCAGACCAGTGATGCCAGATTGTGGGTAATTTCCCTATTTGAGGGATATTTTGCATCAAAAATTAATAAAAGGTAAAAAAGGGACATTTCATATAAATAAGGGATTTTCTTTTGACGAAGTTATTGTTGCATAATTGATCAAAATTCAAGAATATTCGACATTCTTACGTAAATAATCGTTCTGAAGATGTGATGTGGAGTGAAATGGTATACAATTGTTAAAAAGTATAAGGACAATTTCGAAAATTTTCTTACGTTAACCAATTCAAGCGCTGAGTAAGAAAGAATCTTTACAGTTGTAACTGGTGTTTCATATAAAAAGCGGAACAAATTATCTGATGAAATGTTAAATAGCACATGAATGTGCTTCAATTTTAAAGTCACCAAAAAATTCTTTTAGGCCCTTAGTGAGTGAGCAAAAAAATGAATAAGTGAAAAAAATGCAGAAAAAGGGTTTTTTTCTTAACAGCGGTCGGCCCTCGGCAGGCAATGGCAAACCTCCGAGTGTATTCCTACCATGAAAAACTGCTTCTCATAAAAATACACTCGCCATTCGGAGTCGGCGTAAAACTGTAGGTCCCTCCCCTTTGTGTGACAACATATTTTTTTGTGACACATATTTGTAAGCGCCAAACTATTATTATTATTTTATATGAATTTTACTTCTTTACTACTGAAATATGTATATATTTAAATTCGTTGGGAATTTTGTGGGATAAATTTTCAAGATGTGGGTAATTGAGGGATTTTTTCCCCATTTTCGTGGGATTTTTAACAGAGAGTGTCTGGCATCACTGTTCCAGACCTTGAATGTGAAGAAGACGAGGCTGATGGTTCAGCAGATGAAGAGTCGTCCTAAAGGACGAAAGCCAGGAAAGGCCGAGCTGTTAAAAACGAGCAGTCGTGTGTGGGATAGCGAGTAAAGCGAACGTTCAATCCCGAGATCTGCGAACAATCTCTCAACAAAATTAGTTTCGATTTACTTCAACTTTGTATTTATATTTGAAATAAAACTCTTCTTTAATTGGTAAAGAAGCCGATTCTGTTTTCTACAGTACTATTTGCTTGTAGAGTAAGTACTTTCGCTCACACTTTCGGCAAATTTGTTACTAAATCTTGTAAGTACAACTGATTTTGAATTCTTTTCTTAATAAATCTTTACAAGCTTTCTTTTTTGCAGCAGGTTCATCAAAAGATATCAAGCGTACGCTCATTTATTTTTTTTTTTAATTCGTGGTCTGAGGATCCCGCGTTCAAAGGCTGGTTGTGTCACCTGAGGGTACAAGGCTTATTACAATGTTTGCAATTGCATATTAAATGCCAAATCAGGGAGAGCTGATCTATTGCAACATGCACGCTCGCAAAAACACTATGTTCCTTCTTAGCAGACCGTAATTTAGCATTTTCGACAACCGACCACCTAACCAAAGGTCTACAAGAAAATAAAAATAATATTAAAAATCAAATCGATTCTTTAGCAACTTAAAACTTGCACATTATTATCCTGGAATTTAATGGGCTATCAAACTGCATACTCAAAAAAATTCTAAAAATCTGAATAAAAACTTGAAAATCTAGCTGAAGGTTTGCAGATATTTTATAATTTTTGCAAAAAGTTTGAAATGTGGATTTATATTGTGTTAGTTATAATAATTAGCTAGGCTTTTATGAAAAAAATAATAAACAAAAGAAAAACAGCTAAAATGGATCAAAATGTTGAGGACTCAATCAGCTGATCAGCTGCTTGAGCTCATCTGCTGTTTTGCCAGAGTGCCAGGCCTCTTTCTCACTTTTGTGAATACCACTAATGAATTTTAAATGTGCTCTGTCGAAACGACATTTTAATATACCTTCCCTACAAGAAATCTTACTGGCAAATGACTGGTCACCTGACGGTCAGTGCTGATGCAATAATGCTCCAATTTTCTCATCAGAAATTCGGGGGTAATATGAAAAACCTGACCGGTTCTTTTGTGTACATGTGACTATGCGTCCCTTTCTCACATGGCGATTTTACCAGCAGTGCTAAAAGGTCTCTTTTCTACTTATTGTATTTCCTAAGGTTATTTTTACAAATGTTTTTCTGTGTATTGGTGTATATTTTAGCGTGCTAGTGAAGAGGTCAGAAAAAAGCCCTTTTCTTGTAGGGTTACGTATATAATAAAAGTTTAATAAGAACAATTCTGTATGCATACAGGGAAAAGACGTTTTTGGGTAGGAAATGACGTTTTATCAGACCAAGAGGGACGTTTTCTCATGCCGAAAAACTTGCAAAACTGGTATGCATAGCGAAAGCACAATCATCTTCAACGTGCATGCATATGAGTACCTACCTGCATTTTTTTTGTTTTGTTTTTGTCGCAGAATACGTCTTACGTTTCGATATGGGGGCTGTGCTCAAATGTTGTAGTTGTAACTTTTAGAGCTTCACGAAAACGCTTAATGCACACGAACTAATGAAGAGATTTCAAAGAAAAGTGTGGCATTTCAAAGACAAAATCCCAAACCTATCGACAGATACATTTTTGTAAGTAGCCAATTTGGTTTCTGTCCAAATGAAATTGTTGTTCAACAAATATTTCCTCGCTACATTTTCGCGTTCTTAAAAAAAAAAAAACAGAAAGTAATTATCTTTTCCTTCATATCTTTCTTCTTGAAACTACAACGTGAGACTGCTTACTGAATACACAGGGTAAAGGTCTGTCACATCGAAATATGTAGTACCAAAATCCATAGTATGCATACCATGGTGTACCAACCATATGTCTGCCAGGGCTATTACCCTGGTATTCAGTAAGCTGTCTCACGTCTCTAGCCTCAAAAAGAAAAATATGGAGGAAAAGACAATTATTTTATATTTCTTTTAAAGAACGCGAAAATGAAGCGAGGAAATATTTGTTTAACAACAATTTCATTTGGAAATAAACCCAAATAAGTGCTTTAGTATCATAAAAA